GAGAGAGAGAGAGAGAGAGAGAGAGAGAGAGAGAGAGAGAGAGAGAGAGAGAGAGAGAGAAAATAAACATGGTTTAAAACAAAATATCCACAAAGATTACAAAGGTAACATAAAAAGTAGATTTTTACAACTGATAAATTATAAACAGCGCTGAAAATTTCATTCTCTTATACTTACAGAGTACTATGGGGTACACGAGATCCTTGGCATTCAAGGATTCAGCACTAGTGGTTTCAGCTAACAAAAAATGACATATAATAAGTTATTCAAGCTGAGATTGGCTTGGAGAAGTAAACAAGTTTAGCTGACTGTCAGCCATCAATTTCACTGTTGTTTTATAATCATCCTTGAATTTAACACTTTGGAAGTAATAAAACCCACTTATTTGTAAAAAAATAAAATAAGACGACCCCCCATCCTTCCCCAACCTACACCTCCTAAGCCAACCTCTCTTGCAGGAGATGTAATTAAAGAGGTCTAGAAAAATAATGGTGACCTTTTTTTTTTTCATCTTTTTAAAAAATTAATTTATTATTAGTTTCAGGTGTACAAGCAACATAACAGTTAGACATTTAAACCCCTCAGAAAGTCAACCCACTCCCCAAGCTACTACCCCTCTGACATCTTACATAGCTGTTACAATACCATCGACTATCTTCCCTATGTTGTACTCCACATCCCGTGACTATATATACCTATATATTTAGTTATAGTTGACATTCAATATTATTCTACTTCAGCTTCAGGTGTATAGCACATTGGACACAGCCTATGACGTGATCTCCCTGATAAGTCCAGTGCCCATCTGACACTTTACATGATCTTTACATTGTTGATTATATTCCCCATACTGTATTGACTATCAATTTATATTTCTTAATCCCTTCACCTTTTTCACCCTGCCCCCAACCCCATTCCCATCTGTCACCCTGATAGAGCTAGTACCTATCTGGCACCATACCTAGTTATTATAATATTATTGACTATATTCCTTATGCTGTACCCTACATCCCCATGACTACTGTGTAACAACCAATTTGTACTTCTTAACCCCTTCCTATTTCACCATCCTTAACCCCCCTCCCATCTTAAAGAAGTCCCTCTAAGAGTCTTTGTAATACTGGTTTGGTGGTGATGAACTCCTTCAGCTTTTTCTTGTCTGGGAAGCTCCTTATCTGTCCTTCAATTCTAAATGATAGCTTTGCTGGATAGAGTAATCTTGGTTGTATGTCATTGCTTTTCATCACTTGGAATATTTCCTGCCACTCCCTTCTTGCCTGCAAAGTTTCTATTGAGAAATCAGCTGACAGTCTTATGGGAGCTTCCTTGTAGGTAACCAACTGCTTTTCTCTTGCTGCTTTTAAGATTCTCGCTTTGTATTTATTTAACCTTTGGC